TCGCGACCAGGGGACAAATCGACGGCATTCATTTACAATTTCCTCCCACACCCACACTTCCGCCAATGTTCATGGGGCCAGGAGGATGCTGGAGGGTCGTCGGTAAATTGCCTTTTTGCATCGGCGAATGCTTCTTTGAGTCGACTCGGTCGCCTGGAGCTTGATGCTCGACCTCCCCTTTCTCCCTACATCTCTTGTACGTGACTAGCGGGACTTTTTGTGCCCACCTAACCTTGTTAAGCGCTTGCTACCAAGGAGAGGGACGGTAGCGTTTTGTCGCCGGTCGTTGCTAACAACGCTGTTACTGTAGTCAAACGATTTGCCTGAATGGCATCGGGATGGGGAGATATCGACCGACGTCGAACTTGCTTGAATGAACGGGCGTCCCGTATATGAGGGGCGGTTGATGTGGGCGCTAAGCTCATTGGGGGTCTCAAATTGTAACCACCGCTGTGGCGCACGGCTTTGCAATACAGTTCCAAGTCAGGGGGCGCACGTTCCCGAAACAGGAAATTAGGCGCACAGACAGGGGATGAATGTTCGGGTTGATCCTTACCACGCTCTTTAGCGACGAAGGAAGAATACGAATGGTTTACGCCATGAAGGAAAAGGTAACCCGTGACGCTTGTTATCTCCTTTCTCCCGTCATCCGCTGTTCTTCAGGTATCAGATCGCCAACAAGAACTCTGGGGTATTTAGAACGGTTTTCTGCTTATCTATCCTCGCGTGAACGTTCACTCCACCATCTCAAGTCTTAAATGGGGATAGCGTGGCTCGGCGAACTAGCGACTGAGAGTTCATTCCTGTGGTTTACGTCGTGCATTTCATAAATGCCTAACCTGCTTAGGCGCTCGCTGCCAAGGGACCAGAGGAAGCCCGGCGCCATTTTGACTTGTTGCTACTCCTCGTGGTAATGCGAGGATCAGACGATTAAGTCTGCGGGTATGTGGTGCACGGATGCAAAAACAAAGGGTAAAGTGTATTTGTGGCACTGTCGTGCCGACGGAGTCAGACGTGGCATGACCCGTCTGCATAGTTCGCCACGCGATTGAGGCGTTCAGGCATTCAGGATTGCATCCGTCTCCGACGCTGGATCCTTATGGGCCTTTCATCTGCCCTTAATACATCGTCGGCACCATTGCTCCTCGCTGTGCCCTACGCCCACCATAAGCACCTCAGATTCTGCAGTGAAAACATATGAGCCAATCTCCACGACACGCCCCTAGACCTCTACCTTTACCGCTTCCACGCCCTCTAACAACCAAAATGAATTAATAACTACCTCCCTTCACACCCGCATCGCGCATACCGTCTCCATGCAGAGAAAAAGGAAACCCACCTCGCCTGTTATCGCCTTTTGGATACTCTCGACCTATGATCATGATCGCGTTCCCGGGAACTGTCGCCTGCGTCGCCCTGAGCATGGGAAGGGCTCCCAAGGACCAAGGCAGACCGCGACTGGGAGTTGTTCCGCGAGAGGAAGAGCACTCAGCACTCGGAACGGGCTCGGTGTTTGTACGGGAGCGGTCGTGTTTAAAGGTGTTCCGGGGCTCCGACGCCGTGAGAGGTTTAGTCTTGGTGAGAGGGGATTAAAGGCTTCGCGTTGGACTGGCGATCATGGGCATGGCTACCCGGCGACGCTGATCGACGTCGTGCGCCTTTGGTAATAAAGTCGACTCTTCTGTGGGTAGCAGGTCGAATTGCGGAGCGTCCTATTTGTGGACGCGCTGAACTTGAACATAAGCCGTTATCTGAAAATAGGAGTTTCTAAGGCGCAGATAGACTTCTGTCGGAGGAGCGTTAAGGTTGGACTTATTTCATCAACTCGGTGAGTAGAATTCGACGATTCGTGCGGCCAGTGTCAAGTGGAGCCTTGTTCCAAAAATGACGCGTGACGCACGGCCGGGCTAAGTTTGAGCGGCCGTACCTTTCTCGCATTCTAACACGGTCTCAAGGATGAACGCGAATGAAGATGACGTTTTGTGAGAAAGACTGACTTGGGTCTTCCGGAAGCTCGAGCCCAGGGAACAGAAGCCTGCTTTCGTTCTTCCTGTCGCGAAGCGGGTTGGATCCGGCTCGTGGGCAGTCACAGAAGGCCCGTCGAAAAGGAACTGGGGCTCGAATGCGAGCTGGGAGTGGCAGAGGCGGTTTGAATTCGTATCGAAGTGATTTGGCGAGTGAATGGGTGCGAATACGTCACGGTTTTCTGTCCCTCCTGACACAAAAAGGGGATGATGCCAGAAATGAATAGGAAGCAAATACCTAATAGTATATTCCACTAAATCATTGCAAGAGGAATTGAGGGTGTGTTCGGAGGGTGTGCCCCTAAGTTCCCCTGACGATCATCACGCGTCACGGATGACGGATGTCTCAAATAGGCAGTGCAGTTACCCAAAAAGTCGTCAGGGGCTCGGTCGAGGTCAGTTCACGCGGGAACAGGGTGAAAGATGTAGGTGAGGGGTATCTCCCCAAGCTGGAACACGAATTGAAGGTGATTATGCAAGTGGGTGCGTACCCTACATAATTCGGGTAGGATAAAAACCAACTCGCTGGTGGAGATGATGGCCCAAGATAAGTCGAGTTGATCATGAAAGTTTGAACACTCATCATTGATACTCCAGGAGCGGAACGAGGTATTAATCATCGCCGGGGCTCACCCAAGGTCTGTGAAACGGTCGCGTAAAGAATGCTCTTGATGCGCTGACTTCGGATCCTTACCTGGAGTCATGCTTGGGTTTGAGCCTTGAGCCGCGCTGGGCGTACAGTTCAACAACTCTCAACACATGTTTAACGGTAAAGCGACTCTATCAAAAAGAGGCCGCTTCACTCTAATCGAGCTCATGCGAGCCCTCTGAGAGGGGGTTGCGTGGTACCATCTTCATCGACAATTGTTGACGCGTTGTGTAGGCTCGCACCTCTAACAGAAACGCGTTCAACCACATGGAAGCTCTACGTCGTCAGAAACGAGAACTCGCCTGATTCGAGTGGATGGAAGTGCTCGTGCAGGGGACAAAAGGGAATGCATGGTAGTCGGATACGTTCATGGACACGCAGAGGTGAGTCGTTGATTCCCAAGTCCCGTAGTGGGGGCGTTACCATATCCAGCTGCTCGGGTGGGGCGCTTGATGTCAGGACCCTCCAAGCCCTCGTCCGAGCTCAAGTGCGGTCGAGGGGAACTCGATGAGATCACGACGACGGTAATCTACATCATCATACTGTAAGCGCCTCGACTGCACCCCGGCACTGAAAGTCCCCGGATCCTCGAATCGAGTAGAATTAATCATGATGGTGTCAGGTCATCTCGAACTCGAGCAACCCTCTGCGGTGGTTTTGGAGATTCACCGTAATTGGTAATTGTAATTGTATCATGGCCCTATCAAATGACAATGACGATATGGCGATAGATGCGAGGGTCGATCCCTCGAATGAGCTCGAGGCGGCCCCCGCGACGAGCGGAAGTGTGGGAGATCATCAGCGGTTCATCTCTCTTCTCTGCTTAATTTACGGTATCCTCACGTGTTATAAGTCTGTAGAGACGCACGGTCTTTTGTGACTCGACGCGAGTGGTTTCCCAATCTCACGAATGAGAAGCGGCAGAGTGTGGATGAGTGTAGGGTGGACACTTTATACTCACCTCTTTCGAGACCATTCAACGTAATAGTAGTATTAGCGTGGACTACGCTTCGAGATGATGCAATACAGGAGAGAAAGAGAGCGTGTCAGGGATATTCTGAGCGCTAAATTTATCTCAGTCTGAAAATGCGAAGGATCCAATCCAGCCCAGAACGAGGTATTCACCGTCCAGGTCGGTGCTAGGTTACAATACCGCCGAGCGAACTATGTGAGAGATATCCAGAGCGCTAAGGTGACCGCGATCGTGATTCCGGCCATTCAAGTAAATCCGAAGCAACCTTACCAGTGGAACAAAAAAAGTGAGCACGAGGGATAGGTGGGGCGAGTCACCTCTTTCGAGCTTGTACACTTCATTCCGAAAATGTGCACAAGCAAGGAAGGAAAGAAGATAGAATTTCCGGGGAGGTCCCAAGAGAAAGAATCAATTCACCCCATAACGAGTCTTTCATAAAATCCTCCAGGTCAGCACCACTGCCAGCGCTAGTGTTGGTGTAGGTGTAGTTGGACCGATTCAGAGTACGACAGGCTTCACTTTAAATTAGAGCGAACAGACGAGTCATTAACCATCAAGCGCGCTGAACATGACCATGCCGTTACTCACCCATACCATGCGTATCACTGTTCAGTGGGCCAGTACTCGTCTAGTGCCACTGACATGTGAACATACCACAGCCTCCAGCCTTTCCGAAAGTTCTTCTTGGGCGCTCAAGCGCTCAAGCGGTGAACCGGGTGCTGACACTGCTAATAGTAAGTAATAGAAGTAGCGCCCAAGCTGTGCAAAAACAAGGTTCGATTAAGTCCTTTTCGAAAGACGAATATAAGCACGGCACGGACGTAGCGTACTCGTACACACCACGTACTTGTGTACGTTATATTGGACGCAGAAGCGCTGAGCTTCCCTTTCGAGACCAGGTAGCTAGTGGGGTGTCGATATCCATGATCATGAGGCGCTAAGATTATCGGCGTCTTATCTGAAGCATAAATCACAAGCCAAAGACGGGCGTCTAATTTTTAAAATTGGGTTGTCGTATGTCGCTCCGTGCCTCGTGTCTCTGGATGTTCTAGGGCGTCTCAGGCTGGGCGTCAGTGGCATCGAGGCGTCCGTCAGGACACAAGATTCAAGTACTCAGGGTCGGCGCTTCAGTGATCAAGGATCGCCCAACTTCCAAGACATGATCACGGACGATCAGCCACGATGTGCTGGTGAAGGCTGATGTTGCTTTGAAGGCCGAGGTGATGTCGTGATTCCGGACGAGCCAGGCGACTCCGCCGTTCTGAGATCAGGAGGAGCTCGAGGAATCAGGATATCGACAGGGTCGGAGGTGGGTAGCAAGGGAACGAGGGATCAAGGGAGCGTGCAGACCTACGTAGTGAGGGTGGGCTGGGTGCACGTGAGGACGTGCGAGGGAGAAAGGTGAAAGCGCACAACTGCTTTGTTCTGTTTTCTGCTCAGTTGGAAAATCTGCGGCGAGCGCATGGGTACAGACTCCAACATTTCGTGATCGACTGTAACATATGAAAGGCTCAAAGCTTGGAAGAAGATAGCATCAGTCTGAAATGACTTGTCGTACTGTCTACCGTGGCTGTACGGCATCAATGAACGTTGAACGTTCAGCCAGCCAATACAGCGCGCACCATCCGTGTCCCATACGAGATCAACAATATATCAAGCTAACTCGAAGTAAGCCATCGACATCCAGCGTGAGGTGGATACCTAAGACTGGTGTTGGAAGGGGAGGGGAGTCGAGTGCGGGGAACGATATGCACATGGCATAAATAATATGGCTGAGCTTCGCGCCACGTCGGGCGGGCCCGAACCCTTGATTTTGGTGATGTCGCCCGCATGGCGCGTTAAGGCGGGGATCATGAGCTGGCACTGCTCAGTGCTCACGGGCTGGCGCTCGTGAGTCGGCAGAGTGATACGTGATGGCGGGTTCGAAGTTCGAACTGGATGGAGTCGGGCATGGGCTCGAGACTCGGAGCAGGGGATTAACCCATGGATCCACACTGATAAAATGATACGCCTGAAATCTTCGCAGAAAGATGGGAGCTTGTTAGTGGTTAACGTTAGCGTTTGGCGCTGACCAAGTACGATACGGCACGGTGTTAGCTCCAAGGATCAAGGTAAACCTGAAGCGCGGTGCTATTTATGCGACTCTCCAATGACTGCTGCGTTATCGATGTGTCGGACGGATCCATCGGTGATGGGCGCTGGGTGGATTGGACGGTGTGGCCCGATTAGGAAGGTGCCGACGGCGCCCGCCACAGGGTGCGAGGGCGATGTGATGCAGGGCAGCGACAGACGAATGCAGGTTCCTGCTCGAACTGGAGGTGTATTGGTGTACAAGTAGAGGACGACGAGGAAAGCCAAATAAGGTTGGAGTATGTCATGGAGATAGGCTTCCCATTTGACGGAGCCGTGTGTGGTGGGATGTGGCGACGTGGGGAAGGTGTGAGAGCGACCCCGGCGTCTGGCGCGCAGGTGGAGGAGGTCGCTCGTCTGGGGTTTGCGAGCCTCGTGCTGGTTCGGTTGCGAAAGCGAGCCGGGGTGTGGACTGATTACGTGTTTGGTGTTCTGGCAAAGGACGGGTGTGATCTGAGATCGTTTTTCTCCTGGTGTGGATGGGAGGCTAAATACAGGCCCTCCCCTGCCCGCCATGGAGAGCACCTACAGCCCGTCCGCGATGAACACCACAGACCAGCACTACCGCCAGCACCCACACCACCACCACCAACACCAGCAGCAACACCAGCAGCACTGGCCCCCCCACCTCCTGCACCCCCAGCAGCACTACCACCACCAGCTCTCCCTCAACCTCGACTCCCTCTCCGTCACCTCCCCAACCAACCTCTCCCCAATAAACCCCCCCACCGCCGCCATCTCCCCAGTGACCCCGCCGTTTCAGCAGCACCAGCACCAGCAGCACCCGTTCTCGTTCGATCCAGTGCAACAGCCCGGCCAGCAGAGCCCCGGGCACTACGACGAGCATGGCATCCTCCAGCAGCCAGTAGCGGCTGCCCAAGGCACGGGCACGCCCTACGACACACGGCGCACATCCACCGCCGCGCCCTCGCGCGCCTCGTCATCCGGCGGTGGGGGCGGAGGGCCCTCCTCCCAGCTTCCAAGGAAACGCAGCTTCACCGCGCACCCCAACGCGTCCTCCACATCCCTCGGGTCCAACAGCCCAGGGGGCGGCGTCGGGCCCTCTAGCGCCTCTGCGCCCCCGAGCGCCTCCTCCTCCGGGGGCCCTGGCGCGGGTCTGACGGTCAACGTGAACGTCGGCTCGACGCTCGTGGAGGAGAGCATGTATGACG